TATCTGCCCTGTACTTTGTAATAGCAACAACCATTTGAAGGAAGCATGACAGAGTTGACTTGAGCATTATATTCCCTGGATAAGGTTAGAGAGAGATCTTGGTCATGTTTGTTCTACACAGGCTTTGAGAAAGCTCTTCCTGGTTGCAGTGATCAACAAATTGTGTTTTATGAGATTGTGGTGAATGGAGGTTAAATAATAACCTAACCCTAATAATGGGGGCAACACTCAAACATAAAAATTAAACTAAAGATACAAACTTAAATTCAAATGTAGGTGACTAGCAGTCACCTATTTCCAAACAAAATCAATCAGAAATATGCACATTAAACCAGAGCAGTGCTGCTGGGAGGAGCAGCAGTTAACCAAATGAAGTGTGCAGAATAAACAAACTCTAATACAAAAAGGCCTGGGACCTTAGACCACAGTCATAACAGAAAAACAGTCCCAGACACAAAACAAAACTATTACAAAGTTAATCAAAACGATTCATAATCCATACCAACTGAATGTTAAACAGAAGAATAAACCCTGGTACAACACTGAACAGCAATGGAAAGAAGGGAATTAAACAAAAATGAACTCAGGCAGGATGACTGCCTGCTGCAAAAGAAAGATTCAGAGTGAAACCCTGCTGTGCACAGAGCCAGGTAGTGACCGCAGCTCTCTAACAGTCAATAAAAGCTAAGAGAGGCAAACAGGAAACTTGCATTAAAAGCACAGCAAATTAGAAAGAGTAAGACTAGCACCATTCCTGCTGTTTGCATTTGTATAACCAAACAGTAGGAATTAATGAGCATATTGACAGCCAATCCAACAATATGGAAGCAAAGCAACAGGAAGGATTGTGTCTGACAAATGACTGACAAATAACTGAGACAAGTGAGGCCTGCAGTTCTTTGACGTTTGTCTGGGTTCTTTTGTGACCTCCTGGACGAGATGTCGAGGCGCTCTTGGAGAAATGTTGGTTGGCCGGCCACTCCTGGGAAGGTTCACCACTGGTTCTCCATTTGTGGATCATGGAGAGTGGTTCGCTGGAGACCCAGAGCCTCAGCAATGGCTTTGTAGCGCTTTCCAGATGATAAATGTTGATGACTTTGTTTTGCATCTGTTCTTGAACCTCTTTAGAAGGTGACTTCATGCGCTGCTTTTTGAGACCCTTTAGTTTACTCCACAACACCAGACAGGTTCAGATTAAGTGAAGTTTAGATTCATCAAGCCTGCCAGTAATCATATGTGAGTGTGGCTGGTGAAACTGAACCCAGTTGCTAAATGAAAGTGATCATTTGGTGGATTGGTAGCTAAGGGGGCAATTACTTTTTCCACATAGGGCAAGGCACGGTGCTACAGTGGTTAGCCTCACAGCTAGAAGTTCCCTGGTTCATGTCCCAACCCCG